GGCCGGGCGTGAGGTAGGTCATGGCGAGGTAGGCCGCGACGAGCAGCGCGAGCGCGCCGAAGAAGACGCCGTCGTCGGCCGTCGCGAGGCCGCCGCGGCGCGCGCGCGGCGAGCACAGGACGAGCGCGGACGCGACGACGTAGCACGCGGCGATCCGCTGCAGGATGCCGCACCAGCGGACCGTGCCGAGGTCGTAGCCCCAGGCGTAGGTCGTCGGGTCCGGCAAGCCGCCGCCCTGGACGGCGACGCCGACGACCCAGAGCGTCGCGCCGCGCCTTAGCACCGGCGCGAGCGTCCGCTTGCCGCCGAGCGCGAGGGCCGCCGACACGCCGACCATGAAGATGAAGAAGGGCATGACGACGTCGGCGATCGTCAGGCCGTCCCAGGGGCTGTGGTCGAGGACGGCGTAGGCGGACCCGGCGTCGTCGACGAAGATCATGAGCAGCACGGCGAAGCCGCGCACGACGTCGAGGGACCGCACGCGCGGCGGCCGGCGCGCGGACTCGGGTTCGTTGACGAGCATGGTGCTCTCCGCCGAACTCGGGCTACGCGGAGGTCGCGTTTTGTAGCGAGGCTTCCCAGAGCATAAGCGAGGCTGCCCTTGGAGGAGCGTTTGCACGCCCAAACGTCATCATCAGATGTTGAACTGCTCTCCCGAAGCTCCGAGCCTGACGCTGGGCCCGACTCCCAGTTCCGCTGCCTGCCGAAACCGCACGCCGGGAGGGTCGTCGCCGCCTCCGCGACGCTCCGCGCGCCCGGTCGACGCCGCGAGTCCCCCTCGACAGCACTCCGCGCACCCGAAAAGTTTCATGTCGTCGCAGACCGCGGCGCTCTACGCGCCCGAAGAACCGCGGACGCCCCCGGGCAACGCGCGCGTGCTCTGGATCGGCGAGGGCCCGCCGACGCCGCCCCGCGCCGCCATGCCCCGGGACGTGCGCGCGAAGCTCGACGCGCGGCGCCACCGGTCGTCGCCGCCGTCCGCGCCGCCGGCGCCGCGCGAGCCCGGCGGCGGCAGCGCGCTCGAGCGCCTGCCCCCGGACCTCGCGACGCAGCTCCTGAACCTCGACGGCTACAACCTCGTCGCCGAGCTCCTCGCGGCGCGCGTGTCGACGCGCCTCCGCGAGTGGGTCGGCGAGCGGCCCCTCGCCATGGTCTACGAACTCCGGCCCCTGCTCCGGCGCTGGCGCGACGCGGTCTTCCCGCCGCCGCGGCGCCGCGTCAACTCGTTCCAGCACTCGCCGTCGAAGCGCAAGGCGACGAACCGCGCGATCCTCTTCTTCTGAGGGAGCATACGCGGCGACGCGCGCCGCCCCTCCTCCCCCCGCTCCGTCCGAGCTCGGACCGCCTCTTCCCCGCACTCCCCCCTAACAAGCTCCCTCCTCTTCGAAGGCTAAGCGACGCGTCGTCTTCCCCAAACCGCGAGGCGGCGGACCGAGTTAGGGCGCGCGCGCGCGCTCACGCCTCGTCGTCGTCGTCGTCGTCGTCGTCGTCGTCTTCGTCGTCGAAGTTGCGGCCGAGGACGCCCGCCATGTTGTAGTGCGCGTTGCGCTTCGCGGCGAACTCGCGGGACTTGAGCTCGGCGTCCTCCATCTCCGCGACCCAGCCGAGCCGGGCCTCCGGGTCCCGGTCGCCCTCCGCGGCCGCCGCGAGCTTCGCGTTCAGCTCGTCGAGCCTGGCGCATCGCGACGTCAACGTGCGCGTACGGGTCCGGGAGAGACGCTCTTTTGTACGTCGTCGGTC